TGCTGGGCCCTCTCCCCTCCACCTCTGGTGGTGATGTGATCACCCAGACAGGCCCCAGCACAGATAGTGACAGTCAGGGGCTGTCCTGTCAGCAGCTCGGGTTCTGTTCAAGCTTGGGATCCACAGAGCGGCATCCCTGTCGTCCCACCGCCCACGTGTCTGGCTCGTGCCCCTCCTGCACCTTCCGAGCCCAGTCCCAGCTCTGCTTCCCTGGCCCTGGCCCCCTGTCCTCCCGTCAGGACCCTGTGAGGACTGTGGGCAGCCCCGTCATCAGGACACTGTTCCCCCGCCAGTGCCTTGGCCGAACCCCTCCTGCGCACACCCCTTCACCCTGTGAGGCCACAGGTTCGCGAGCTGGGTTAGGACGAGGAGCAGGATGCCACCTGCCTGATGGCCAGCTGAGACCTGCATGGCCCTGCCCCTGGTTGGGTAGGCTTGGCCCTTGGCTCAGGCCCGCACCAGTAGAGAGGGCCCCGCAGCTTTGCTGAGCTGTGTGCGGCCGAGGCCACGGGGCAGGCACCCTTTGCATCACAGACTCCCAGAGAGACAGGACTCGGTGGGCAGAGGGGAGAGAACTAACGAGATCAGGCTGTTCAGGCCCCTGAGACGCAGTTCTCCTTCCACATCTCGAAGCCGGGACTGGCAGGCCAGAAGGAAGTGACAGTGTGGGAGAGGGCGTGTCCTCGTCCTGTCCCAGGGGATCACGGAAGGTGGTGCTGTTACCCTCGGCCGCTAGTGAACCGTCATTACCTGGGAGTGGCTGCTTTCGGGCCCCTCCCCTGTGAAACCTCTACAAGGGGCCCCTGAAAAGGGCGCCATGTGAGCAGAGGGCCACTCCCCTGGGGTCCTTCTTGCAGCCTGAGCCGACAGCCTGGGCCACACAGGGTCTAATGCAGGGCCACGAGCCTCAGCGTCCAGCTCCGTAGAAAGGGTGACTGCAGCCGGAGCTCTCAGGTGGGTGGCAGTCGGCTCGGCCCCCCTCTGCTCAGAGGCATCAAGGACTCACAGTCATGCCCAGCCCTGCAAAATCCGGTCCTCACCTGCCCACTTCCCACGCCTCCTGCTTGGGCCTCTGTCCACTCTGGCTCCACCCCAGCCCCTTTGCACGTGCCGCTCTTCTGCTCGGACTGCTCCTCTGCTGGTGCCTACACTCCTCGCCTTCATCAGCTCTTTGCTGGGGCCAGGTGCATGGCAAGACCTTCATGAGCCCCCGCCCACTCTGCAGCCCTCCTTGCTCACCACCCCCCACCCACCCCCTTCCT